TGACTGTGTGGTGTGTGTGGGGTGTGTGGTGTGTGTGTGGTGTGTGTGTAGATGACTGTGTGGTGTGTGTGGTATGTGTGTGGTGTGTGTATACTGGGTGTGTGTATAGATGACTGTGTGGGGTGTGTGGTGTGTGTGGGGTGTGTGTGTGATGTTTGTATACTGGGTGTGTGTGTAGATGACTTTGTGGTGTGTGTGGGGTGTGTGTGGTGTGTGTGGGGTTTGTGTGGTGTGTGTGTAGATGACTGTGTGGTGTGTGTGGGGTGTGTGTGGTGTGTGAACACCAGCACAGCTGTGGTCGTTGCCTGGGCCCCTCCACAGGGGCGTCAGAACCGGGCAGGCAGCCTGTCAGCTGGTCTTGCTGGGGGTTTTTTTTGGTTTGTTTTTGGTTTTCACCTATCCTGGTCCTAAAGAGCCTTGCCCCCATCGGAAGCTATCTAAATGTGACTTTGGGGGTGGGGACTTGGAGCTTTAGATACCCTTCCTGTCCCTCGATTCTCAGTAACTAAGAACGACCTCAGCAGCGCCACCTGCCCAGGCACCTCTGGCCCATCCTGGGGCTACCAGGGGATTAGGGACCTGTGTCACGTCAGCTCCTTATGCCACAGCAGGGGGAGGGGACACTTCACCTGGCAGAATAAAGCCCTCTTGTCTCCAGGTTTTGGGACCAGAATCAGCCGGACAACTGGCGACACACGAACGGGCTGACGGAAGACTGTGTCCATGTTCAGAAGAAGTGGAATGACATGTACTGTTCCGCGCTCTACCACTGGGTCTGCAAGAAGCCCATGGCCGGGGTGTAGCCTGAGGGCAGGCCCGAGCTGAGGGGTCACGGCAGCTGCCAGCTCTGGGTCCTTCTCCAGGACACCGTGGGAGCCTCTGAACTCAGCTTGATCTCTGGGGCCTTCCATTGGGCCTTTGTTTTTCCTGATCTGTTCCTTTTTTTTTTTATTAATCTTTCAAACACATTTACCTCATGCAACCCCGCACAATCAACAAGTCCTCGAGGCCAGAGCCTCGTGCCGCTGTATCCCCCTCCGCAACCAGCCTGTCAAGCAGCAGGCCCTCAATAAATACTCGCAGGAACAAAAGTTTTAACTTGTCTGTGCGGCAGCCGCCATGCTCGCTTCTTCCTGGATTGCTTCTCCTTCCCTGTGTCCCTTCTTGCTGAAACAAGCTTGTCTTTGTTTAAGGGCTTTATAGCTAGGAACTTTCAGTTGGTTCCTTGAAAGATGGTGGAGGTTTAACACAAACTACCTGGACTTGGTAGGGGTACAAATTCCCGGGAAGTCATGGCCACCCCACGTGTTCTCTGCGCTTCCTTCGTTGCAGATGGGGCTGGAGCTGGACTTTTCCAGACCTTTAAACCACTCCAAAAACTCATTTCTCTCCTGTGGCTGGCCACATCCTGTCCTCAGACTGTTAGCTCTCAGAGCCGCATTCTCCACTTTCCTTGTGCACATCCACCCTCCCCAGGACGAGGATTTCTGCCTGATCAACTGAGAATGAGAATTTCTAGGGCAGGTTTTTGCCCCGCCCACCGGAGTCCCATCCTAGGCCTGCGCAGGGAACGCTATGCAAATTTCTGGAGCTGCTTCTCTGCATCACTCCCCTTCATATTCTGCGCCCCCAATTATAGAATGCTCAGTCTCCCCAAACTCCCATCTCTCTCTCCTCAGTTTAGTGGGCCTGCCATGCCCCCTGGGGACACCCTCCTCCCTGCACGGTGGTCTGGGAAGCTCCTCCAGGAACAAATCCAGGAAGGTGGTTGGCTCAACCAGTCAGACCCCAGTTGTTGTCCAATGTCTGAAACAATTGTTTCATATATTTTGTCTAGTGTTCTGCTTGCTTATAGAAAAAGGGCTGGTCCGGTTTCTCATCATGACCAGAATTGCTTGTTTAGGTCTTCTGCCCATTTTTGGATTTTTTTTTAAATTATTAAGTTGTATGAACTGTTTATATATTCTGGAAATTAAGCCCTTGTCAGTCTAATCTTTTGCAAATATTTTTTCTGTGGGTTCTGTAGATTGTCTTTTTATTTTGCTTATGATTTCCTTTGCTGTGCAGAAGCTTATAAGTTTAATTAGGCCCCATTTGTTTCTTTTTGCTTCCATTTCTATTGCTTGGGTAGACTGCCCTAGGGGAACATTGCTGAGATTTATGTTGGATAATGTTTTGCCCATGTTTTCTTCTAAGAGGTTTATAGTATCTTGTCTTATGTTTAAGTCTTTAAGCCATTTTGAGTTTATTTTTGTGTACGGTGTGAGGGAGTGTTCTAGCTTCACTGATTTACATGCAGCTGTTTCCCCAGCACCATTTGCTGAAGAGACTGTCTTGACTCCATTGTATGTTCTTGCCTCCTTTGTCAAAGATTAATTGACCAAAATCCTGTGAGTTTATTTCTGGGCTCTATTTTCTCTAAACGTCCTGTGGAGGATGTATTGAAAGCTGCAATTTCCCCAAGCATGAGGAAGGCAGGGGAATTAAGTTCTCTGCAGACTGAGTGGAGCGATCTGGGGAGACAGAGTGAAATCTGCTGTTGTCCTGAAGTCAGCTTGTTCCACTGATCCATACGTCTGTTTTTGTACCAACACCATGCTGTTTTAATTATTGTAGCTTCTAATAGCTTTTTGTTTGTTTGCTTGTTTCTAATAGCCTTTGATTCAGGTATTTCAGTATTACTTTGTTTAATGTCTAAATATTCATAACCATGAAATCTACTAGAAGAATTTTACTTTTTTTTTTAATGGAGATTCTAGGAGATTGAAACAAGGACCTTGTGCATGCTAAGCATGTGCTCTACCACTGAGCTCTACCTCCCTCTAAATTTTACTTTTTATCAATATTCATTCAATCAGGGAGTATTTATTGTGCTTCTGCTATGCACCAAGCACTCTTTGAGGGTTTGGGGATTCAGCAGTGAACCAAATAATGAAAAAACCCAGCCCTCATGAAGCCAGCATTCTAGTAGGGAGGAGAGCTGGTTAGGACATCCGGCCCCTTCTCATAATAGCCACAGGCAGGAGTCTTGTGACGCTTGCAAGCTGGGGCTGGGGCCTTCTGGAGTAGCAAGCAGCTACTCACCATTGATCCAGCCAGCCGTGGTCTGTGGTCTGTGGTCTGCAGCTAACGAATCAGGAACAGGTAAACATGAAGGACTCTCTCCTGCTCACACTCCAGGGTCACGTGCTTGGGCTGGCCATGTGTCTCTTGTGGAGGATGTTCTGAAAGCTGCAATTTCCCCAAGAATGAGAAAGGCAGGGGAATTAAGTTTTCTGCAGACTGAGCAGAGCCATCAGGGGAGGCACAGTGAAATCTGCAGTTGTCCTGAAGCAGTCGGCTTGTCACCCTGAGGTGCTGGCTTCCACTGTGGGAACCCTGGGCAGCTGCCACTCTCAGTGACCACAGATGGCATTGGTGGCGACAGCAGTCTATGGCAGATGATCGCCACCACACGGGGTATGCTGCTGCCCCCTGGTGCCCACAGCCTTTCCTCCCCGAGCCATCTTTCCAGTCTTTCTGGGTATGAGGACCCCACCTGACAGAGGCTGAGGTCTACACCTTGGGATCTGGGGGCGAGCCTGACTCTGGCACAAGGAGAAGACAGCATGCACTTTCTGGTTGTCATGAACTAACCTCCCAGGCCTGGTTTTCTAGGGGCAGGGAACAATTTCTCAGTCAGGAGAGAGAGCATATTTTGGAGAAAGACGTCACAGCATTTTGAGGATGATGGAGGTCACTAGTTTAGAGGGAAAGGTACCCCTACTTATCATAGTTGACAACTCTGAGTGTTCTCTGCCAACTGATATCCCAGCCCGTGCTTCGGAATTCTTACAGCACTCGCTCCCATATACCCAGATTTGGGGCTGGGCCTTGGCCCAGTCCCCCACGCGTTCCTACACCACCGGACAGAGCCTCTCCCTTTGCATTGCTCTCACTTATAAGGGCCTGTTATACGTGGCTGTGCATCTATCTGCTACCAGCAATTCCTGGGGCTCAAAGCCAAACAACCCCAGAGACCCCCACCGCCAGTGAAAGCTCCAGGCCCCCAGGGAGAGTCACAGGAGAGCGAGGAGGCCTGGGTTGCATTTCAGAGGGGCAGTTTAGTGTAGAACAAGGGGCTGCCAGCTGGGCCTCAAAAAGGGCCCACATAGCACAGTGTCTACAGCACAGTTGTGCCTCTCAGTTCCCCCCTAAAGCAGCCTGCACCCCACTTCATCTAGAACTTCCCAGAGCCCTGCTTTTCTTGCATCTTACCCTCCTGGGATCTGACGAGCACTTCCCACTCCCAGCTGTACAGGTCCCAGGACTAGGATTCTGGGCCCCCTTCAAGGTGGCCCCAATGAACCTCTCATGACATCTCTGCTGTGGGGTCACTGGAACCGAGCCCCGTACATACCTCAGTGCCCCTCAACCAGCTCCTGCACTCTTGCTCAGAACATCCCTCTGCCTGGGTCACCTAGGATTTGTCTGTACAATAGCTGAGTTTCTGGATGTTCTATCTGGTTCATAAATCGTGATTGCTCTTCTCACCATCACATCCCACATCCAATGTGGCGGGAGTTACACGAGGCAGGAGAGGCTTGTGGCTATAGACCCAGGGTGTGTAGCCAGACTGTGTGGGTTCAGTTCCAGCTTTGCCCCTTTCTAGCTGGGAAAGCCCGTTACCTGACTTTTGTGTCTCAACTTCCTCTCCTGGGAATAAATTAGAATCCCTCTCTTGAGGCTGTTGGGTGGGCTGAGAAAATGAATGCACCACAGGCTTGGAATATGCTTGGCACCGGGTCCCATTGTACAAGCCTTAGCTGTTACTGTTACGTCAGTGGCCTGGTGGATTTCTCACTGCATCACAGAGCAAATTTCTTTTCTAATCCCTCCTTTACAGAAGGCAAGATGAGGCTTAGAATCTGAATGAATTACTCAAAGGTCCTAGGAACCCCAGTGTCTCAGAAGCTCTTCCCCTCTGACCCACGATGAACCCTCGGGCCCTTTTAAGTCTCAGCTCCTGTATGAGGCCCCATAGCCCACAGGCCATAAGCATCCATCTACCCCTTTGCGAGGTGGCCCGGCATCTCCCTGCATCTTATCAGAGCTCCAGGCTCCTGGCTGCAGCCGAAACACAGCAGCACAAATGAGAAGGGCTTCAGCTGAGGGTCCCTGTGAGGAAACGACCTTTCAGCAGCTTCCGGGGGACAGAGCCCGTGGGTCTGTTCCTCTTCTCTGCTCTTGGTGGAGAAACACTTCTGACCCGCTGTTACCCTTGCTGGGGATGCGGCCAGGATGTTGACCCCAGCTCATGCCCAGGGGGTGAAGGAGGAGCACGAGGGAAGTGAAGTGTGGGCCACAGGGAGCAGGGCCTGCCTGCTGGCGGACCAGGTCAACCAGAAGCACAGGGCTGGGCCCAGAGACCTTGGGCTGGAGGCCGCTCAGACCTCGAGGAGACAGGACTGCCATGGAGACGGCAGACTCGAGTTCCAGCCTCAGCTCTGCCGCTGAGCAGCAGTGGGACCGTGACTAGTTACTCACTTGTCCGGCATCAATTTTCCCATTTGTCCAAGGGAAGTAAAGCCTGATTCCCAAGAAAGTGGTGAGATAAAATAGTACATGCTATGTAATCAATAATATGTAATAATAAATACACTTATGTGACTACGAATAATAATATGCAACTTCCAAATCCGTTTCGATGGGAATTCCGGGCAAGGTGACATGTCTTTATACTTTTTGATTCCTTTTAAAATGTCATTCTGGGCCTTCCTTTACTAAAGCTGTTGTTCATCACTCTCTCACGTCTTGGCTGAGTGAAGGAGATGAAGGGAACTGTGTCTGAGCGAGGATTTAGTTGGGGTGGAGGTCTTCCAAGCACCCAGGCCGGGTGTTCCCATCAGGAGGGGGGTGTTCTGCTCAGCTGGGTGCCAGGGTAGCGAACAGGCAAAGACTGATGAGTTGAATCTGCTGGGGCTCTTTCTCTGTGTCTGAGGGTGGAAGATGATGTGGCTTGGCCCCCTCACCCCTTTACCCCACCCCCCTCCATTTCTCAGAACCCCCTGGACCCAGGGTTCCAGATGGCAAGTCAGAAGATGTAATTAGAAACAAGGGTGTGAGATTGTGAGCGTGGACGTGAGGCAGAGTGCCCCTCCTTGTCCTTTCGTCTGTTTCCTGCGGACAAGCCAGCGCGTGGGGACTCGAGGTGTCTGGGCCGCAGTGTTCCTGGCCCCGCCCCAAGCTTTGGAAAGCTGCCTGGTGGTGTGTCCTTGAACTCAGAGTTCTTCTTGCTCCTTCAGCCCTCCCAGTGATTGTGTAAGCACTGAAATCGCTGAATTAAACCCCTTGGCATCTGCTGAGAATATCTAGAAGAGTTTCTGACCCTGCTCTGAACCCTGACTGGGGCGAATGGCCTGAGGTCTTCGCTGCTGCGAGGTTGGTCCATGCTGGGCACCAGTGATGGCAGAAGCCTCAAAGGGGACAGCTCCAGTTTTAGAAATGACACCCAGGAGCAATGATGGAGGAGTGATGATTTGGAAGGAATCCAAGTCCTTGAGTGACCATGAGGAACAGAGCTGCATCGCTGACCTCCACTTTTCTCACTGTTAGAGGCGAGAGATATAAACAGTTTTGTTCACTGGGTCCTTGCATTATTGGATGATGGTAAGTTATCAGCACCTTAACTCAGACTGGCTTATGTGATTGCTCTCCCTCAGAAAAGATGGCTCAGTTGAGGAATTAAATGCCAAGAGGCCAGAAAATTATAGTCGGAGTTGATGGAGGGTAGCGGGTCTGAGGAATAAAGCCTGGGGTTCTCACGCTGGATTCCTGATACATACCAGTTTGCCCAAGAGTTTGGAAATAAAATAGAATAATGTCGATAATCTCCTTTTTGATGCTCAAGGAAAGCTAAGTAAATGGGTAAACCATTTCCATTTTAAGCTTCATCCCCACATATTTGGCTCTTCCCTCTGCCTCCCAGCAGACACCACCATGGGAATTCAGAGCAAGCAAAATTATTTTCCATCTTAAAAATATCTATTGTTATTGGTGTTGGATTGGAGTTAGAGGAATAAGTGTGAACTTACGCTTTTTAAACATACCTATCCATCTGTATACAGAGACAGCTAGATATAGCTGTGTGTGAGTATACGCGCGCGTGTGTGTGCGAATGTATAGTTCCTGTCTGCAGAAAGAACATAGAAACAATGACATTCCAAAAGGAATGAACAATCAAGCATCCAGTCTTGGTTTCTAAATCCCCATCCTCCCCTAAAAGGAGAATTGATTGATTTCAGGGCTGGGGCTAGGAAAATTCGAGATGAGCCTGGAATGTATTGTGTCTCTTTGGGCACAAGTAAGAAAGTGCTCAAAGAATGGTGGGGTCATGTCAAAAGGACAGAGGAGCCAGCTTGAAGGGGCTCCCATAGGCCAAATTTGTGACAATTTGAGCATTAAAATAAGGATAGGAATGAATTACATCTTACTGAATAAAAGAGAAATCCATGAGCTCATGATGACACAACAAAATTAATCAATAACTGGGGAGAAGGGAAACCTCTTCCCCGAAGGAGGATGCCAACTGTTTGGCCATTATTAGTGTGGTGGTTAATTCAGGCAGGAGTCAGCAAAGGACTCTAAGGCTGTCTCCTCACAAAATATCAATTAAAAGGGGGAAAATATTTAAGGTGAAGAAATCTGGCAGAAACCACCTTGATGGGGTGATCAAGGTTAACATCATCAGGGGTGGAACAGTTCAGCATCAGGTGTCTCCTTATGTGACGCACCGAGGAAACCCCAGCATCTCTTCTACGGAGTCTCCGCCAAGAGGGCAGGACCTGGGTCTGGACACAAGGAAACACCGGGCAGACCGAGGTAGAGGGACATCCTACGGAATGAAAGGCTTCCACTCTCTGAAACTGCCGAAGTCGTGAAGACAGGGCAAGACCAAGGAAACGCTTTAGAATAACAATAATGAAAACAGGAATATTCATAAAGAGAAAGGGAGCAACGGAGCAAGTGTGAAAAAAAGTTAGGGAGTAGAGAACCTAGGTCAAGGGGACACAGGACGTCTTCGTTATTGCTCTTGCAACCCATTTGTTTCAAAACGAATTTTAAAAAAGGTTTTGGTGTATCTATCAGTTTTTTCCCTGATGTGTGTGTATATACACGTGTATACGTATATCCAGAGAAACGGAGGCCCCGGCTTAGGTTAAATCAGAATTTGGGGGACTGGTACCCGGGACGGTGGAGTTTTCAAAAACTCCCCAGGTGACTCCAGGGTGCAGCCCGGTTTGCGAGCGCGCGCTGCAATCCAGGGTTCACGGAAATCACCTGTGGAACTTGTGAAACAGAAGGTCTCAGAGAAGCTTCCCGAGAGCGGGCCGGGCGGGTACGCAGGCGCGCAGGGGAAG